ATTCTGTTAAGAATGTTCAAAATATGTTATTTAATCACTTTGTATATCATTTTACTTATATATGATATTAGTTTTGGACGAAGGATATTCAACTAAACACTCTGACTATAACATAGCTACGCCCTACTGCTTAGGCTAAAAGTGGGATAAATAATCAAATTAATCAATGTCGAATAATATAAATATGGGATGTGTTTAGTTGGAAGAAAACATTTAATTGAGACGTCATGATCTAGTTAGAAATCACGATGATTATCATGATAAGGCAAGTATTGGTGTAATATACCACAAATACAAAATATTACAGTTGAAAAAAAAGAGACAAAAATGAATAAACAAATTTTTAAGCTGAGGCGCGGATATCTCACTCTCTTTAAGGAGATTCAAGTCAACCACAACATAATCTACACATATCCAGCAATATCACTCTTGACTTGTTCTCTCCAGGATATAACAGTCCAATAAAGTTGTACAACTCAAATAACTCTTAGATTAGTTGAAGAGTCCAAAGCTCCACCTAAGAACACATTCGTTCAACATATGAATATTTTCCTTTGTATAGTGAATATAGTTAATGACTTTGAATATTTTCTTTGTCTCAACTCTCTCGTTCACTACACTTACTCAAATATACACAATATAATATTTCTCATCTTTTCTTCTACTCTTTCTCTTGTGTATTTCTTGTTGTTTCTACTTCTACCCAACACAAGGAAGACCACATTATTTATATGTGATGAATTCTTCCTTGCAATGAATAGAGAGATAATGGGTAGTAAATTTGCCAAATGAATGATTTTACCTACAATTTCAAATAACTATGTATTTTATCATTAATTAAGAATTTTCTATCATATATTGAGAAATATACACCTAGATACATGTATTTTTGCTGCTAAATACACTAAAATAGAGAAAGGCTAGCGAGATAATCATGTATTTCAGATACATGCAAATCACACTATATACACATTAGATACATATATATGTACGTATCTAAGATATATACCAAATACAAAGGAGAGTGGCAAGCGAGTTTTATCCATGTATCTCATATACATATAAATCCACTTTTATACAATATATGTAGAACAAATCACACCTAATTTTGATATCATGTATACACACCAAAATATGATTAAATTCATAATACTGCAAATTAAAGTACTCATATTTTAGTCACAAACTCCTAAACTAGTGAAATTTGTATAAATTTCCTAAAACTTAACTAGTGACACCCAAAAATGCTACTTGTGCAAATGACTCTAAAGTTAGCGGGAAATAAGATCATTTGAGCGGGAAACCATTGGCCATTAGTATTAAGATTAGGAAGAAACCCTAAAAAAAGATTAGCTTTCTAACAAGAACAAATCCACTCTCCATTAAAAGGTATTTTTCCTTCTCCTCCAATCGTCAGTGAAAATTTTTACCCCTTAAAATTATAATCTTATGTTATTCACGTATAATGTGATATAACTTGTTGTCCCTATAATGACTGTATGGAATTTTTGGGTCGAATTATTGTTTGTTTTTGCCCTATTTGCGCTCTGCAGTTTTTTCGGCAAATGCGATTCAATAAAATAAATGGACTTTAATATAGTTTGGATTGGCATGTATGATATTGGCGTGAAATGAGTTTAAATAGAGTAAAATAGTCCATAAGGATTCATATAGCCGATCCTAACTAGTTGGGGATTAGGGATAAAATTATTACCTGTTAAAAATGGGGCACATGAGTTCGTGGTCTCTCTCTGAAACTAGGTATTTTATGTATATATTTTAACTACTGATATCTACAGTATAAAGATATTGAGTTACTTGCGTAAATTTCCACTTCATGTATTTTCGCCTTCTTTTTTCAATGGTGCACCCATGTTCTAAAATTTTTAGATTTGCCCCTAGTTGGAGAGCTATTAAGGGATGTGTGTTTATGGTGGTATTAGGCATAATCACTACAACAAAAATAACTTTTAGAGACAATAAATGTACACATTAACAAAGAGTGATAAAGTATTTATCAGTATTAGTTAATTGCGATTGGATCCAATGTAACTATAGGTTTTAGGGACATTTACAAGCTGTGCTAATTGCCGCTAAAACAATGTGCAGAAACGTGTGTCATGTTTCTTAATTGCTTACTTCTTTTTAACTTCAACTGAAAGCCATGAAATCATTTTACTCTCGTTATCTTGGTTATCGACTAATTACTGATAACTTGGATCAGCAAGGAGCTTGCTACATCAGCTAACTGTTTTAAAATGGAAGACAAGGAAGAATCTAAAGTTGTTGAAGCTATTGGTGGATGAATAGAAGGATCAAGTTGTTGCAGCTGAAGCCAAAGTAGATTTTATGGACATATTCGTTAGCCTTCTTACCTTACCATTGGGAACAATAATACTACTCATTAAAGCAGAGGCTGGAGTTGTTGGTTGTATGAACAACTTGTACCAAAGTGTTGAAAACCTCGCTGTGGAAGATCTGTTCAGAGAGCATTGCAAAACCATGCTGCTAAATCCAAGAAATCCCTATCCAAAGTATTGTATGAGGTTGAAAGTGAAGATAGATGATTCAGGCTCCGAGAAGTACTATGGGTGTTCAGGTTGGACAATGCGAAAGTATTGCTCAAAGCGAAGCTATTTCATGAATGTTGAGTGCCCATGTAATGGGAAATTTGATAAAGAGACTATTTTAAGTGAGTCTTGTCGTGATAAGTATGTATTTCTCATAGGAGGGATATCATATCTAATCAGTGACGACTTGCAATTCAAGCGTGCTTCTTCAAGCACTCTTTTCCAGATGCTTTCTAATGTTGGCCTGAGTGATATGAATCAGATTAAGGAGATGAATGTAGAAGTTGGCAGGGACGAGGTATTGTCCTTAAACATCCGATTAATTAAAAGAATTAGTGATTACCACATTCTTAATAAGAGAATTATGCTTTCTGATGATACGTTTGCTTTTACATGTTTTGCTGTGATTTTCATAAATTGGCATTTGCAGCTAGTAACATGATCTTTTTCTGGACCATTTAGGTGATTCATCTACTTGCTCGTTCATTTATCTCAAAGACTCCCTTGTCTGATGTGTTTCTGCCCAAGCAAAAACAAAAAAGGGCACAAGTAGACACTATAACAATGTCCGAGTCTGGAAAGTTGTCATCCATATCTGAAAATGGAACGAGTAATAACACCAAGAAGTTGGAGCTGAAGCTAACAGTAAGAAAGTCTACAAACAAGGTCTTGTGTGCAGAAGCAGGCAATGATTTCATTGATTTTCTCTTCAACTTCTTGACGATTCCTATAGGATCAATTGAAGATGTTCTAAAAGGGAGTTCTGGCTTGAGATGTATCGATAACTTCTATAAAAGTGTGGAGGCTTTAGATGTGAAATGGTTCAATATGCGTCCAAAGCAGAATAGTTACCAGAGTGAGGATAAATTTAATGACAACCTTAAGACAATATTACTCAAGCCCAATGTTGCCACACATTATAATTCTGAGTATCAGCTGGTACAGATTTCTGAAGGAGAATCAGAATTTTACGATTTGTATGATCCAAGGCAACATATAAGGGGTAGTCATGTTCCCAAATTTCATAAGTTTGCAAAGGAACCCTCCGCTTTCTACGTTATGGACAATTTGGAAGTAAGACCTTTGTCTTCTACATCAACTATTTGCATACTTCAAGAACTAAATGTGCCCATGAATGATATTGAAGAGCAAATGATCAGTGTTGGTGAGTCAGAAGCATTGAACTTGCTGAAGGCCTCTTTGACATTATCATCATCAGCTTTGACAGAGGGCTTAAATCACAAGTTGAAGATGCAGATAGACAAAGATGTGAAGTGTAACGCGAAGAAACTTTGTTAGCAAACACATGGATAACTTTCTTGTGTTTTAGCCTCAAAACTTGGTCCCCTGTGGCCTGTACATCAAAGCCTTGATGAAGGGTCAAGTATTTTTTGATTGACCTCTATAGATGATTAGTCCATGAAGTGTTAATTTTGTCCTAAGTTGATAAGAGGGTAAATCTAATTACATGTCATAGCTGCAAGCTACTCTAAAAGTAACAATTCTTTACTAGTACTAGTAGATTTGCACCACTTTTTTGTCATATGCTGTTGTTTAGCATCTGGTGCCAATGCAATATTCTCTATGTTCTATTTCTTGGATTGAAATTCTGTTTCTGGATTGTTTGCTTATTCTCACTGTTTCAAGATAATTGGTTTGCCTATAAGGAACATGAGATTTGAGATTTTCTTTGAAATTGTGAGACAAAGTATTATATTATTGTTCTTGATAATATCATTCAGTATTTGGTTTTAGTGTTACTTCCAATATTTTCCTTTGTATGAGATTTTTATTAAAGAAAAAAACCATTTGATTTGAATTCATGCTGAACCTTATTAAGATTTTTTACTTGTTTTAGTGATTACTATCGAGATGAAACTTTTAATTAAAGATGGAAATAGGGGTGTGCATAGATTGGTTTAATCAATTAATCGAACCAGAAAAAAATGCTATTGGCTTTGGGTTATTGAATTAATGAATTTTAAATGTCAAGAAGATGATACAACTGCAAGAAAATAGACATAAAGGAAAAAAGAAGAGATTGTCCCACTTAGTAATACCCAATGAAATCTCACAAGTGAGGTATGGGGAGAGTAGAATGTACGATGTCGTAGGCCTCTTACTACTACCTCGTGGAGGTATAGAGACTATTTCCGAAAGATGTAAAAATAAATATATTTTCAGTAATAAGAAATTAGGTGGAATTTATAAAGATTCATCATGAGGGAGGAAAAAAAAGAGGCCAGAAGTTACATTTAGAGTGGCTTACAGCTATGATAACATTAACTTCATGGACCAAATCATCTATTGAGGAAACCTCCCAAACAGATGAATAATAGAACTACAAAATGATTGATTCAATCTGAAAACACTTGCCTCTCCAATAAGGCTTTGATGTACAGGGGATCAAAAGAGTTATCTATGTGTTTGCTAACGAGCACGACAAAGTTTCTTCACGTTACACTGCACATCTTCGTCTATCTGCTTCTTCAACTTGTGATTTAGGCCCTCTGTCAAAGCTGATGATGATGATGTCAAAGAGGCCTTCAGCAAGTTCAATGCTTCCGACTCACCAATACTGATCATTTGCTCCTCAATATCATTCAGGGGCACATTTAGTTCACGCAGTAAGCAAATAGTTGACGTAGAAGACAAAGATCTCACTTGCAAATTGTCCATAACGTAGAAAAGGAAGGGTTCCTTGGCAAACCTTTGACATTTGGCAACAAAAGCACCCCTTACAAACTGCCTTATATCGTGCAAGTCATAAATTTCTGATTTTCCTTCAGAAATTTGCAGCAGCTGATACTCAGAATTATGGTGAGGGGCAACACCGGGATTGAGTAATGGTTCAATGCGCGTTCAAATACCAATAAATCAATAGTGTGATTGAATTATATTACGTTTCGATTTTGAACAACCCTAGTTCCAGTACTCCTCTACATATTCCAACTTAAATACTAAAAACTGGCATAATATAAAAAAGGAAGAAGAAGAGAAAATTACCAGGTTGATTTCTTCTTCAATGAACACTGATGAAATCTACTCTGATATTCTGTAACTTAGGGTTTTTTACTCTCTTTTTCCCGCTCAAATGGTCTTATTTCCCAGCTAATTGGTGATTTCCCACGAAAGACTACTCTCTCCATTTTAATTTATTTGACAGCTTCTGCACACAAGACCATGTTTGTAGACTTTCTTACTGTTAGCTTCAGCTCCAATTTCTTGGTGTTATTCCTGGTTCCATTTTCAGAAATGGACGATCCAGACTCGGACATTGTGATAGTGTCTACTCTTGCCCTTTTTTGTTTTTGCTTGGGCAGAAACACATCAGACAAGGGAGTCTTTGAGATCAATGAACTCACAAGTAGATGAATCACCTAAATGGTCGAGAAAAGGATAGTGTTACAAGCTGCAAATGACAATATACGAAGAATCACATCAAAGCACGTAGAACATACAAGCAACCACATAAAGATACAATTTTTGTATCAAGAATTCAAATGGTAGAGGATCATATTACCTCATTTTTGCCAATTTCTACATGCATCTCCTCGATTTGATTCATATCACTCAGGCCAACATTTGAAAGCATCTGAACAAGCGAGCTTGGAGAAGCAACCTTGACTTGTAAACCGTCAGAGATTAGAAATGATATCCCTCCTTTAAGAAAGACATACTCATCGCAACAAGTATTTTCAACTGAATCTTTCAGAAACGTCTCTTTGTTATACTTCCCATTACATTTGCACTCAACATTCATGTATTAGCTGTTGTATCGACAATCTGAACACTTATAATACTTAGACCCTGAATCATCTAAGTTCACTTTTAACTTCATGCAATATTTTGGATATGGATTTATCAGATTCAGTAACAAGATTTTGCAATGCTCTATGTACAGATCTTCCTCATCGAGGTTTTCAACACTTTGGTACAAGTTATTGATACAACCAACAGTTCCAGCCTCTGCTTTAATGAGTCGTATTATTGTTCCCATGGGTAAAGTCAGAAGGCTAACAAGTATGTCCATAAAATCTACTCCGGATTCAGCTGCAACAACTTGATCCTTCTTTCTATCCACCAAAAGTTTCAAAAGAATCTTAGATTCTTTCTTCTTAACCATTTTGAGGTAGCAAATGCCTAGCTGATCCAGGTTAGAACGACGATAAAAGGAAGTAAGCAATGTTCAAATGACACGAACATGGAAGCAGAACACGACACAAGTTTTAGCACACTATTGTATTTGCAAATATGTTTATGCATTCTATTAAAAACAACAAGCAATTATCCAAGGGATGATTATAATTACATAAACATGCATTCCAGATTCCATAAATACTACAATAACATCCCAATACCATCATTTATCAAATGACAACACCAAATTTAAGTACAAGTCCAAAACTACCACTTATTCCCTTCCAATTTATGTGTATTAGCTTAAATAGACTCAATCACTCAAAGGTTAATACAAAAAGAAGACTATTGAATCTTATGATCTTAAACTAAAGATTGTAGAATATATCAAAATGCCTTTTGAATCTTGTAATCTTAAATATGTCATGAGATGTTACAATTAAACAATCACTCCTTGCGTTTCAAAAACAATGATCTATTTTCTTTTTTAGTCTATTTAAAAAAAAAATGACTCAGCTTTACACATGATGTGTTTAAAACCACCAGATTAAAGGGATATTTTGATACATTTGACATAACTTTAAACTCTATGTCAAATCAAACTAGATCATTCTTTGTAAAACGGAAAAAATACTAGATTGGCATTCCATTTTAAACAAACTAAAAAGAGAGCTAGGAAAATAAATTTAAACATATATAAGACACTACTTCTTCCGTTAAAAGTAGGTAAAAAACAAATTCCATAAATAACATTTCATAATGATTATTTCGTTTTTATCCTTCAACACACTTTATCTTCATCTCCACCTCATAGCCCCATAATCTCTACCCCGTGCATTCATCTCTCGCAGTATTTGTCTAGATTATACACAATTTAAGCATAATATTTTTTAGTGTTTTTAGCAGCATGGTTTTGCAGTACTCTGTCTACAGATTTGCTTCTCCGAGGTTTTCAACACTTTAGTACAAGTTGTTCATACAACCAACAACTCTGTCATCTTCTTTAACGAGTCGTATTATCGTTCCCAGTGGTAGAGTGGGAAGGCTATAGATTTTTACCAAATAGAAAGAGTTGAAAAAAAAAAAGCATAAAACGCATTCATGGAATGCGATTTATATATAAGTTTCAATCACTTTCTATTTATTTTTCAAATTACTTTATTACCCTTTCTGTTTAATTTTATTAGTTCAATATTTTTAAAATATATTTATTACTTTTATCATATCAAGAAAAGTTAATTATTTTTTACATTTTATACTCAACATTAATTGCTTGTTTTTTTTAAGAATCTTCGTATCTCAATTGATTAACTATCTAAAATTTAACTTTATCAGTAAATGTTCGATTCTCCAGATTTTAATCCCCTCCCCTATTTTTCTTTTCTCAACCCACAATTTTATTTTTTGTCTTTTAAAAAAAGGTTTTGGCGTTGAAAACTTGAAAACCCCTTCTTAGATGCCTAAGTAGAAATAGCTGAGAAAGAAAGGCATAAAACGTATTTGGCGGATGCGATTTATGTATAAATTTTTGTCTCTTCTTATTTATTGTTGAAGTTACTTTATTACCCCTTCCGTTTAATTTGATTTGTCCACTATTTTTAAAATATATTTATTTATTTATTTTATTTATTACTTTTATTATATCAAGAAAATATAATTATTTTTTCCATTTTATACTCAACATTAATTGCTTCTTTTTTTTTTGAGAATCTTCATATTTCAGTTGATTAGCTATCTAGTGTTTAATTTTATCGGTGAATGTTCGATTCTCCAGATTGTTCATCCCTCCCTTATTTTAGTTACTTTCATAACGAGGATATATCAGTTGTAAATAACAAAGTTGAGAGGTATATCAGACCCTTTTCCCTTGAAAATTCAATTTACTTAGCCGAATAACACAAAGATCAAAATTGAAATAAGATATTAACTCATAGATCAAAACAACTATTTCCCCTTTTCTTTGTTAAAAATGAACATAGCCTTTTCATATTTATGACTAAAGATAAGGATAAAAATAAAATATTAATTATATTTTACTTTTTTCAAAAAAAAAAATAGATTATTTATTTTTAGTAAGAAGGATTAGTAAAATGAATATGTCCCTACAGTTGTAATTGAAAACAGTGTAGTTAATAAGACATATAGTGACATTAAAGTAAGGCATTTCTTAATGAAGAAGGAGAGGTTAAGAATAAAATTAAAGGGCCAAAAGACAAAAGAGAAAGGTAAAGTATTTTCCTAAACACCTTTATTTACTTTAATGTCCACCCAAAGTAATTATTATTGGAAGTGTTAATTCTCCTTTTTGAGTTTGAAACTATAGAAGAAAATGACAAATAATATGTGATCGTTTTAGATTCAAACCACATGTCATGATCTGATTCGTCCTTTTCGCCAATGATTTTTCCCCATACCCCAACAGTTTTTGTTCCAAAGTCATAATCTTTAGGTTGTTACTTGTTAGAAAGAAAACTCATTCCTACTTCATCAAATATAATATTTGCATCACAATAAATAACTTTATAAGATCACTCAAGTTGCTAGCTTTACTAGCTAATTTCACCTCATTTAACTAAAAAATCTGAATGAACTAGCAGGGCAATAAAAACATGTCCAGAAGGCAATACAAACGGAATTTATCATAAATTGACTAGTTTTATACGCGCTGTTAGCTTATAACCACAGCCATTTTACATGATCAGGACTCACAACCAGCAATATAAAAACAAATATTATAACATAGTATTTGGTATAGCCACAAGCCAAAGTTGCTTTTGTAGTTTGTAGTATTTTAGTCTCTCTCTTCTTTCTGTGTATTCACGAAAAAGCTCAAGGCTTCTGTTAAAGCAGATGATGATCTGGTTAAAGCCGCCTGCAGCAAGCACAGATCCTGTCATAGAAATCATGGTGTTATTTTTTTCGTTACAATTTAAAGCAATGCAATTAGTTTTTAGATTGAGTCAAGAAATTACCTCTGCCTTACCAATGGAGATCACTTTCTCTTCAATGTCAAAAAAAGTTACATTTTGGTCTTTGAGAATGCCAAAACTTGATGTAGAACACATAGGTTTGACTTCTAAATTGTTCGAAACGATAAACAAAGAAGGTGACATTGTGAATCTGCCAAATTCACTGCTGCCACCACTTACATCCCTTGGATCTATGAGTTTATGATCTGGAAGTTCCACTAAAATTGGAAGCAACTCATTCTGGCATTTATGTTTTGGTGCAACACCAGGGTTGAGTAATCTGTTTTGGTATGAAGAAAAAGAAAACCATTGTGACTCCAAATCCGCTACACTTCTATACAAGTTGTCTATGCATCCTAGTCCAGAAATCCCGTTTAGAGCTTTGATCACTGATCCAATAGGAAAAGTGAGGAAACTGAACAGAAAATCGACAAATGAATCCTTTGCTTCAGCATACAGTATCTTGTGTCTAGACGTGCTTAATACTAGCTTCAGGTTTATTTTACTGGAGTCTACGGTATGCAAATCAGCAAACACTTGAGAAATTTTTGGCTCAATACTCATGATGTTCATGTTCTCAACTATAGCTTGCTTGTTCATAAACACCTCAGTTAAAGGAGATTTTGAGATCAATGAACAAGTGAGCAGTCTTAATATCTGGACAAAGAAAACGAGGAAAATGCACGTGAGATAACATCAAATAGAGGAAAAGAAAATTCCCAATAGCCATTAGATGTTGCAATTTATTCTTCCCCTTTCTATAACATCAAACTGTTTTCTCATACCTTCTTATTCAAAGATTACCCTTCATCTGAAGGTGCTTTCACCATCATTTGATTCGGATATCTTTTAAATCAAAATTTTGCAATATGCATGCCTGTTTTTTTCAAATCGGTGGTACATATAATAATACAGAAAACACTCATTCTTAAACTGACATACCATGTTTACACATTCTGCTGATCTAACTTTTCCAATTTTATCATTTGCGGCTAGTTGGCTATGTGAATCTTTATTGACTATGTTTCTCCATTAAACTTCATTTTAGTCCACTAACATATAATCTCTGATATAACTATACATACGACTACTAGAATTCATATAAATCCTTTGCTTTCATTGCATCCTATTTTTCTCTAGGTATACATGAATTCAGAGTTGATTTCTATAACTCAACTTAAAAGGAAGGTAAGACGGACAAATCAAAACGGAAGGTATTGTTACTCAGTATTAGTTTAGTGACCATATGAGAAATCAACATCATGGATTCATTACTCTAGATTGCTTATTGAAAATATAGCAATTAATAATAGCAAAAAGCAAGATCCTTACCTCCTCCTTGCCAACTTCCACAAACATCTCCTTTATCTGGTTCATGTGATTGTAGCCAAGATCAGAAAACAATTGCACAAGAGAAATTGGAGAACCAGGTAATACTCTTAAGTCATCACTTATTATAAACTCTATTCCTCCCTTTATAAAAACACCAAAATAATCATTTGTTGGATTTCTAACATCTGAAAATATCTCTTTAGATGTCTTCCCTTCACAACTACATTTAACATTAACTAGCCAGCTCATGTTTGAGCAATTGTCATTAGAGCATTTGAAGTACTTGTTGGAAACAGAATCATCTATCTTCACTTTCAACTTTAAACAATCTTCAATACATGGATTTCTTGGATTTAAAAGTATTGACTTGCAATTTTCTGTGCAAAGATGGTTAACACTAAGATTTTCAACACTTTTGTATAAATTGTTCATACAAGTAGAAATCTTTGGCATTGGCTGGTTGTTGGTTAGTCTGATTATTGTTCCAATTGGAAAAGTGAGGAAACTGAATAATATATCCACAAAATCCTTGTTGGCTTCAGCAGCAATAACTCTTTTGTTCTTTTCATCTATCAAAAGCTTTAGGGGAACTCTGCATTCTTGATCATTAGCAGCCATTTGAATAGTTTGGTTAGTCTTTCTTTCTTTTTGATTGAACAAAATGTTTTAATTTATGAATGGGAGTGAAAGGTTTGTAGGAATATAAAAAGGTGTGTTTCTTATGATACAAGGAAAGAGTTTGATGCTAATTCAGGTTTACTTGGCTTTTCATTTTCATTTAAGAATATTAACTAAAGGTTAATTTGAGTTAATTAAGACTGATGGTGACATCAAAGTAAGGCATTTCTAAAGAAGAAGGAGAGGTTAAGGATAAAAGTTAAAAGAGACAAAAGAGAAAAGAGAAAAGAATCCACTGACTAATTTATTTACTTCAAAGATTAGATATGTCCATTAAAGGTAAAGTATTTATATACTTTAATGTCCACCCAAAGGAATCATTCAAAGTGCCAATTTCTCCCTTCTTTGGTTTGACGTGACTCAATCAACAGTCAACTCTGCGTTACAGTTTTGATGTACGGGGGAAGTGAGGGCAAGTTTTGAGGTTCAACACAAGAAGCTAGGCAAGTGAGTGTAAATACAATAAAAATACTGGCAAAAGTAATACTAGTGTTTGCTAACCAGCCTGAGAAAATCTTAAGTTAGACTTCACGTCTCCGTCTATATGCTTCTTCAACATGTGATTTAGGACCACTGTCAAAGCTGATAATGATGACATTAAAGAGACCTTCAGCAAGCTTAATGCTTCTGACTCGCCAACACTGATCACTTGTTCTTCAACATCATAGAAAAGGGATGGTGCCTTAGAAAATTTCCTGAACTTCTGAGGGTGTTTACTCTTTAGAGGTACAGGTTCCATTGGGTCAAAGAAGTGAACTTCTGCATTTTCAGATTTATGGTAAAGCACAATATGATTCTCAACACTTGCATTACCGTTGCTAGTTGGATACGTATTGAACCATTTTGAATCTAAAGCCTCCACACTTTTGTACAAGTTATCTATGGATCCCAAACCACAACCCCCTTTAGAGCATCTTCAAGAAGTTGAAGAGAAAATCAATGAATTCACTGCCGGCCTCTGCACACAAGACCATGTTTGTAGACTTTCTTACTGTTAGCTTCGCCTCTAATTTCTCTGTGTTAAGACTTGTTCCATTTTCGGGAATGGATGACAAATTTCCAAACTCAGTCATTGGGATGGTGTCAAATCTTGTTTTTTTATTTTATTTTATTCCGCTAGTGTTAGAGTGGGTAAAAATCTCACTTTGGTTGGGGAATGGACTGGTGGTCTCCTTATGGACTTGGGCAAACCTCTTCTCAAGAGAGCTTTTGGGGTTGAGTTAGACCCAGATGCCATATATTTACATGGTATCAGAGTCAGAGTCAGGTCCATCCGTGTTTGGGCTCCCGGTCCACGCTCCAATTGGGTGTTAAGAATAGAACCAGGGGACAAGGGTGTTTATCATTTTGATTAACAGTAAAAATTTGTAAAGAGGGGTTAAAGAAAGGTTGGTTAAGGTAGATCAAACTCATTTCTTTTCGCCTAATAAGAGGACATTATTTGTTCCTCTAGTGTAGTACCAAAGTCATAATCTTTAGGTTGTTATTTGTTAAAAAGAAGGCTCATTCCTACTTCATCAAATATATTTGTAGCATCACAAAAACTTTATAAGATCACTCAAGTTGCCAGCTTTACAGGCTAATTTTACCTCATTTAATTAGGAGATCTGAATAAACTTGCAGTGCAATAAAAAATTGTCCAGAAGGCAATACAAACTGAATTTATAATAAATTGACTAGTTTTATACGGGCTGTTAGCTTACCACAGCTATTTTCCTTTATCCTAGACTCACAACCAGCAATATAAAAACAAATATTAGAACATACTTGGTATAGCCACCAAGCCAAGTTGCTTTTGTAGTTTGTAGCATTTTAGTCTACCTCTTCTCTCTGTGTTTTCAAGAATGAGCTCAAGGCAAGTGTTAAAGCAGATGATGATCCGATTAAAGCCGCCTGTAGCAAGCACTGCGCCTGTCATAGAAATCATGGTGTTATTTTTTTTTTTCGTTACAATTTAAAGTAATGCAATTAGTTTTTAGGTTGAGTCAAGAAATTACCTCTGCCTTACCAAAAGAGATCACTTTCTCTTCAATGTCAAACAAGGGTACATTTAGTTCTTTGAGTAAACCAAAACTTGATGTTGAACACATAGGTTTGACTTCCAAATCATCCGAAACGATAAACAAGGAAGGTGACTTTGTGAATCTGCCAAATTCACTTATGCCACCACTTATGTCCCTTGGATCTATAAGTTTATTATGATCTGGAAGTTCGACAAAAATTGGAAGCAACACATTCTGGCATTTATGTTTTGGTGCAACACCAGGGTTGAGTAATCTGTTTTGGTAAGAAGAAAAAGAAAACCATTGTGACTCCAAATCCGTTACACTTTTATACAAGTTGTCTATGCATCCTAGTCCAGAAATCCCTTTTAGAGTTGTGATTACTGATCCAATAGGAAAAGTGAGGAAACTGAACAGAAAATCGACAAATGAATCCTCTGCTTCAGCATACAGTATCTTGTTTCTAGACTTGCTTAATATTAGCTTCAGGTTTATTTCTATGGAGAATACGTTTCGCGGCTCAGCAAACACTTGAGAAATTCTTGGCTCAGTCATGATGTTATTGTCAACTATAGCTTGCTTGTTTATAAACACCTCAGTTAAGGGAGATTTTGAGATCAATGAACAAATGAGCAGTCTTAATATCTGGACAAAGAAAAACGACGAAAATGAATGTAAGATAACATCAAAAAGTAGAAGAGTGACTTCTCAACACATAACCTGACTTGCAATTTATTTCCTGAATCGAACTCCTCTATAGTTTTTCCCCTTTCTATAACATGAAACTGATTTCTCATACCTTCGTATTCAAAGATTGTCCAAGTACATATAAGCATACCACCAGTTTCACCAATCAATGTGGAACTTTAACCCACTCTAACAAAAACAAAATGAGTACTTACTAGCTCTAGTCGAATGAGCATATGAGAAATCAACACCATGAATTCATTACTCAAGACTACTTATTGAAATAAAGCAATAACAGAAAAAAAAAAAAAAAAAGATCCTTACCTCCTCCTTGCCAACTTCCACAAACATCTCCCTTATGTGATTCATGTGATTGTAGCCAAGATCAGAAAACAACTGCACAAGAGAAATTGGAGAACCAGGCAATACTCTTAAGTCATCACTTATTATAAACTCTATTCCTCCCTTTATAAAAACACCTAAATAATCATTTGTTGGATTTCTAACATCTGAAAATATCTCTTTAGATGTCTTCCCTTCACAACTACATTTAACATTAACTAACCAGCTCTTGTTTGAGCAATTGTCATTAGAGCATTTGAAGTACTTGTTGGAAACAGAATCATCTATCTTCACTTTCAACTTTAAACAATCTTCAATGCATGGATTTCTTGGATTTAAAAGTATTGACTTGCAATTTTCTGTGTAAAGACGGTTAACACTAAGATTTTCAACACTTTTGTATAAATTGTTCATACAAGTAGGAATCTTTGGCATTGACTGGTTGTTGTTGGTTAGTCTGATTATTGTTCCAATTGGAAAAGTGAGGAAACTGAATAATATATCCACAAAATCCTTGTTGGCTTCAGCAGCAATAACTCTTTTGTTCTTGTCATCTATCAAAAGCTTTAGGGGAACTTTAGATTCTTGATCATTAGCAGCCATCTTGAATTTTGGGAGCTAAAAAGTCTTTTTGATTGAACAAAATGTTTTAACTTAGGAATGGAAGTGAAAGGTTTGTAGGAATATAAGAAGGTGTGTTTCTTATGATATAAGGAAAGAGTTTTATGCTTTTCCTTTTCATTTTCATTTATTCGGCCGATTCATTTTACTTGTCATATTTTATTTTGCTCACCCTTAAAAAGAAATATTAAGACAGATGGTGACATCAAAGTAAGGCATTTCTTAAGGAAGAAGGAGAGGTTTAAGGATAAAAGTTAGAGAGACAAAAGAGTAAAGAATTCAATGTCTAATTAGACCATAGAAATATTAGGGAAAAGAGTAGATATATCCATTAAAGGTAAAGTATTTATTTGAGCATGTTATGAGACCATGTTTTATTCTAAGTAAAAGTCTTAATCCGTGATATTTTAAGGCATAAATCATGACTATTGAGAGGCATATCCATTACATATTCACGAAATTCATTGTCTCAAAAGTAATAGTCATTGGAGCAAAGTATCAGGACTTTGTCACAACAATAGTGGAACTTGATTCACTAATTGTGTTCTAATCAATATATTGCGTGTGTAAACACGGTTATACAATATATATTTTTCTTCTCTTCTTTTTCTTTTTCTTATTTTTTGTGATATATATTATTATACAAGTTTATACAAAGTTATACATCATTAGTATACATGTACTACACATGTGAAGTTTTTAAACTATTTTTAGGTGCTTTTCTTGAACAATTTATATGTAAATCGCGGTGAAGAAGATCACAAATTCCTAATTAATGACAAAAAAAAAAAAATTCTCTTATTAGAAATGGACTATTGTGTTTAGGCTAAAAATCTACAATGTAAATTTTGAGTTGTAATTTTACAATATAGATCAAGTCTAAATTGACATTTACAAAGTCTTCTACATATGAAATTGGCTGAATCCCCACAGCCTTGTGCCAGCAATGCTCTAGACCCCACCACCCACAGCAAATGGCGTGTGAGAGGATAAATCTCCTACATATCTTACAGTATGACTATTTACTTTCTTCATCATTAAGGCACAAATTGGTTATATATCATGTGGATAGTGGGGTTATGTTAAAATCCACTGTTTGAACTGTGATCTGTCTTAAATTTGTTAGGAGCAATGGACCAGCCAATGTTGATAAGTTAGTCATTTTTTCCAATCATTATTAAAGCTTGAATCTTTTATGTCAGTTTTTATACCCTTTTCTTGATTTAACAATTTTCCAATTTTATGAAGCTAAATTGCTTAAAGATTGAATCTTTACTGTTGATTTGTATACCCTTTTGTTGCTTTTACCATTATGCATAGCCTAGTTGCTTAAAGCTTGAACCTTTTCTGTCAATTTTTATGCCCCTTTTCTTGGTCTGCCCTTTTTACATATGTTGTATTCTGAAGCTTGAATCTTTTTATGAATTTTTTATACCCTTTAATTGCATTTCCCATTTTTGCACAGAATCATTTGCTTAAAGCTTGAATCTTTCTCTAAATATCTTAATACTTTTTTATTACTAGTCCAATTTTGTATAAATGGTTCGAGATGTAGAAATAGCATCTTGTGTAGAAATATAGGGTACGGCTGCATATAGAGCCTTGTAGTCTGGCCTTTCCTGGATCCTGCACATCGTGGGAGCTTTAGTGCATCGTGCTGCCTTTTTTCATTGCTTGAAACTTGAATCTTTTCTGTGAGTTCTTTAACCCTCTTCTTGTTTTTCCCTTTATCTTTTCTCTAAAAACCATGTACCCTTTTATTACTAGTTCAATTTTGCCCAAATGGTTCAAGCCGTAGAAATAGCCTCTTGCAGAACTAATACTGTGTATAGACCCTTGTGCTCTGGCTCTTTCTGGAACCCACATGCTTTAGTGCACAGGGCTGCCTTTTTTCATTGCTTAAAGATTGAACTTTTCTGTTTAACCCACTTCTTGCTTTGCCCTTTTTGCATACCTTAATTGCTTTTAGTGGGAATCTTTTTTTCAATTCTTTCTAGCTTTTTACCTTTTTGCATAGCTTAATTTTGTGTTCATGTGACTTCCAAAAAGCAGGGGAAGTAGCTAGTGAAACAGGTCAAAGAGGGAGTGAGAAATGGGGTTCTTATGAGTATGTGGGAAGGGCCGGCTCTGTGATACCCACGACTTCCTTAGCTGGATCAGAAGTCAGCGTTGATGAGATTCGGTCTGCTGCTTCTATGTCAGTTCCTTACTCTCCTTCTCTCCATGCCCCCTTGATCAGCTCTCCTCAATCCCAATCCCAGCCACAGTTTTATGGTAAGTTCCCAACTAACTCATCAATTCATACCGGCTTATTCTATGTTGAGTTCTATATACTACATCCATTTTATATCATATGGTAGTGTTTGACTGTACACAATTTTTTTAATAAAGAAAGAGAACTTTTGACATATGGAAAGTACTCTTAGGGCTAGTAGTAGAGCAGTATGCCATTAAGGTTGAAAGAAGAAGTTTAAAATTAAAGAATTTCCATATATAGAAAGGTGTTGTTCTTTTTGGAACACAATTAGATGGAATACGTAACATATAAAATGAAATAGATGGAGTAACTCTTTTATTTTGCTGAGCAAAAACGGTCCTTAGCCGTTGCTTTTAGCTTGGCGCTATTACAATTTTACTTGATTTATCATAATGTACAACACTCTTAAATTGTTTTCTAGCTTAGGGACTTTTCGATTGATTAAACATACCCAACTTATTTGGGATTGAGGCATAGTTGTTGTTGTTTGTACAAACCCATACCCATATGGTGCTTCCTTATTCATGGTTGCCTGTTGGTTAGTAGTTAATACCAGAAATGTCTGGCCTTGTGATTTGCATTAAGTTTCACCGCCATGGTTCTTGTGAATTTTCTGCATACACTAAAGCTATCTGTTTAAATTTTTATCTGATTTTGGCTGATGATAGGATGTTGATACCTTTTACTTGCCTTTTATTTTTCATTGGTAAAGCTCATAACTGTGATTAGATCACTTGCATGGCGCAAGTGGTTTCTTTGCTCTAGAGTATGCATATGACTCCCCTGCAGTATTGTCACTATGTCTTATTTGTAACATCGTGTTTTAGAAAATAAATGATATTATCTTTTGTTGCAGAGCAAGGGATTGTTTATCAGGGTGGGTACTACGGAGATGCAAGTGGAACTACTGGTGATCTACGGAGGTAATTGCACCGCATTCTTCTTAGCACTGGTCTTTCTTGGGTTACATAGGCTATATTGAGCTTTTGAACTTATTACCCATTAATGGCTGCACTAATTTCCTCTTCTGCTGACGTCAGGACATCAATTGATGTTCTTAAACAAGTAACGAGAAATACAAGGAATTATAATATTTGAGTTAAAATATAAAGATGATTTCCAATATGTTTCTTGATAGTTACTGGAGTTTTATGCATGTGTGTTCATATTTTATTCTTTTTTGTCTCCTTGATTTTTCTTTATGGTTTTTGCAACAGCATCTTGATTAACTGAATTTTTCGGCAGGCAAGTGCTAGACGAGGTAGAAGTACGAGAGTTGCTTATAGATCATGTTGGCCATCGCTGCTGTTGGGGAAGTCGTCCAGCGCAGACCTGGAAGATTCATGCAATTGAAGACTGCAATGTCTATGTGGGAACTCTGGAAACTTTCACGGAAGAGAGAGATACAGTTGTAGAGAAGGAGCTGTACTCTGGTGGCAGCATTGAAGGAAAGGACAAGGGGCCTGAAACAGGAATATGGGAGCTGGATTTAAGGTCTGAGTTTCCTGTATTATTTGTACCTTACAAGGAATCGAGACTGAGAATTCCTCATTCAGAAACTATTGAGAAATGTTCAGGTAATAGACATGGTTCGTGGGATAGTCATTTTGCATTTGTTAATAGAATAACAAAATAATCACTTAAAAGAAGTATATAATAAAATGTACTTGATTCTTTCAGGTCACCCTCTATTTCTTGTGTTTCTATTGTACTGTCTATCTAATCTTTAACATTTTTCCTTCCGTGATTTTTGCTTATGTTATTTGCTTCACAGGTTGTGATGGTCGAGGCAATACAGTTTGTCCTACTTGCAATGCAGATCAAGATTCAGGGTTCTACAAGGAGGGTCAAATGACTCAGTGTACGACTTGCTATGGAAGGGGTCTGATTGCTCATAAGGATGGATCTGATACAATGTGAGCTTTTGACTGAGAGTTAACTGTTGCACAAGTTTTTGGCGTTTTATGATCTAGTTTATTCTTTTTGGCTTGATTAAATATAGATGAAACTCTTATACTATTTCACATCTAAAATTTCCTTCTCTTTCATGGTTTCTGTTGGTAGCATTTCTGGTAACAAATGCAAATCCTTGTGGTGTCCGACTGTTGTAAGCGATTTACTGAAAGCATCTTTTTTTTTCCTCTTTTGCAGATGCCTGAATTGTAAAGGTAATGGAAAACTTCCTTGTGCGACTTGTGAATCTCGTGGCCTCATCAAATGTCAAACATGCCAAGGTGGTGGTTCTCTTTTGACACGGAAAGTAGCTGTTGTTAGATGGTAATTCATCTTTACTTTTGACTTATATTACTCAAATCTTAACTGAAAATTAAAATCAAGGAAATCATGATGCTGTCAACTGACGTCTTACTCGTACAAATTACCTAGTCTTTTGATATTAACAAATCCTGTGTAAATAAGCTAATTTGGCTGTCTTAGGCAGAAATACACCAATCAATCAGTGCAAACTACTGAAACATTTAAGAGAAGTTTCGTGGTTTTGGGTCGTGATTAATTAGGAATTCTGTATTTCTTGTGTTGGCCTCGTTCATACCCTACTTCTTGTCTAGAGAAAATAAAAACAATTGCCGGGCACAATACCCACATGAACTGATACCCATTGCAATTAGAATACAGACCCCAAATGTAATCCTTTTGTGGTATCATAATAGACCAGTCCAGAACTGCTATCTGTAAACTACTTGTCTAGTTTGACGTAACTGTATGC